TGTACTTGAATGACATATGTATAATTTCTTGATGATGCAATCGTAAATTGATGAAAGTTGATTTATGCGAAGGGCGGATGGTGGTTGTAAACAATTGAGACTATAATATATATATGTGATGTATTGTTGAGTTATGTGGTGCTGAATATGTCTCTGTGTACATGACCAGGTTTTCGGCCCACGAGAAAGCTGCGTTGAAGGAAAGGCAGATGGAAACACTAAAATCTGCTCTTGGAATCGACGAGCCCTCAGATACGTGTTTATGATCTTTCCTTTTACTATCGAGCAGCAGATTTAGACAAGTGAATCTTCATATTCTGTTCAAGAAAGTTTATAAATTTTGACATAGATCAAGAAGTATCAACCAAAATTCTCCGTGTAGTTAGTTTTTTTTTTGGTGATCAGCAAATTTTGCTTGTAAATTAATACAGTCGAGACTAGGGAAATTCTATTAATTTAGCGAATTGTTAAATTATCGAGTTAATAATTAAACACGTTTTCACTGAGTCGGGACCGAGAGAAACTATTATTTAATCGAGGTCATTAGTTTATCGAGGTTCTACTGTAGTAGTTTGTGTTAGACAAACTAGTTAGGATCATCCAACAAGTATTTGATGCATACCGAAACCTGAATCTTAGCCCACTTTTTTAATTTATAGTTTTAAGGAGTTTTAACTATCATTAAAAATTCAATTTATTTTGTGTCTATATCAATTTATCAGTGTTCATCTTATGTATTTTACTTGAGTGTGAAAATCAGATTAATTAGTAAATAATTTTGAATTTTGTTTCATTAAAGATCAATTTCTTACTCTAAATATTTTTGGGAAGCTTTGAAAATTCATGAGATCTCGAAAACTAATTTTATACGAACGGCTTCTAACAACTTCCTCACGGAACTGTTTTGCTTTTGCATCATCATAACAAACGACTACCTTGCCACTTGCGTGATGGGGAACAATTATCATCGAAATAAGTATTTTTCGAAAAAAAATTTCTTTCCGAAAATTGAAAATTAATTATATTTACATTAGAAAAAAAAAATCGGATTGAAGACGGTAAGAATCGAATAATTCTAATTTTTTTCATTCATCTGTAACATAAATAATTCCGATCCGATAAAAAACAATTTGAATTCCGATCCAAAGTGAAAAATAATTCGAATTGCCAAAAAAAATTTTGAAAACTAAAGTCTGATTTTTTACATATATTTCAATTGCGATCCAAAATTAACAATTCGAGATAAAAAAAAATAACACAAAAAAAAAATACAAGTCTTGTATATATTTTATAACTCCGATCCAAAACCATTTGAGCCAGATTGAAAATAGGAAACTTTTGAAAATTGAAACAAAAACATATTGCTCTAGAATCGAAATCGACAGAAGTTCAGAAATTTCGTTCCAATTTTCAATCATATCCGATTTTAGTATCGTGCTTATTCATGATTCCTTGCTGGATTTCCATTTTCTCATATTTGTGATAGAAACAATTAAATTGGAATCCTACACAACAATCTTTTTCCATAAAAGTGGGTTCTATTATTTAAATATCATGAGTGCAAATCATCAATCTCTTAATTATTAAAACGAAATATTATCTATAATTCTTGCACTCAAATAATATTATCTTGATGTGGACATAAACTATACACCACTAAGAAAAATTAAGATTGTTTTAACATCCTATCATACTTCTTGTGCACAATTTCAAATACTTCAATTTGGTGCCTCTTTGATTTAGGTAAA